CTTTCATGAATTGGAGGGGGGTCCCACGAAGAACACGAGGGGGAAAACACTCAATCAACAAGATCTAAATCACACATGTGCTAAATCCACATACACAAGAGGAGATACAAAGATCCTATGTCAACACAAGAGGGTACAGAGGTAGCTAGTTCATCCCCATTCTTGAAGGAGAGAGGTCTTGAATCCTAAGAGGGTCTTCCCATGAAGGGGTCTTGAACCCACTTGGGGGTTCTCTCACATGGAGGCCTTGATCTCCTTGGGAGTAGGGAGATAAGTGGATGAGCAAAGCTCTATCTCTATCTTGAGCTATCACAATGCTAACCCTAAAATGTAGGTGGAGGAGGAGTATATATAGTCTAGGGGGAGATAGAGGTACATGGGCCTCAGCCCAAGTCATGCATGCAGGCAGGGTCCGGATGATCTGGCGGTTTGGATCATTCGGGTCCTCATCCGGATCATCTGGCTGTGTCGCTGTGGTCATGGCTAGCTCGGATGTCCAGGACCTGATCCAAACGTCCGGCTGGCTTCGGATGATCCGGATAAAGTCCTGGATGATCCAGCTTCACTGAGGAGGTTGTTCTACTCTTCGGGTGCGTGGTCCAGATCGTCCGGAGGAGGGTCCGGATCGTCCGGGCTTGGTCCGGATCGTCTGAGACTTTGTCTGGATCATCCGGGCAGCCGCTGACTTGCCTCATTTGCGCTCTGTCTTTGCGTTTGCTTTCCTCGCTCGATTGGACTTGCTCCTTAGCTTCCATAGCTGGTTCCTTGGTACCTGAGTATGCAAAGTATCTCCGCTTGAGGTAGTAGCCATGTCTCATGTGATTCAAAAGGGAGTTGCGAGAGGAGAGATGTCACCTCGGTCTCGAGAGCTCTTGCACGTGCTCATGTCATCGGTCCACTTGGCACTTGAGGAGACGAAGATAGGTCCATGGGGGTGACCGTGGGATGCTCCGCATCAGGGTGCTTGCCACATGGGCCCGTCGGTTATGGCCAGGTTATGGACCCACCAAAGACTGATGAATGGGCCATCTTGGCCCTGACCCTCAGCGTAATCAAGATGAAGATCTCCTGAAGGCTTAGCATACACTTCAAGCGTATCTAAAAGAAGAGTGTGTTTATTCCTAAATTGTAATTGACCATGTGTAAACCCTAGGTACCTCCGGCGTCTATAACCAAAAAAGGGTTTCCCCCCGCTTTGTATTACAAAGCAACCAACCGATACAGCCAACGATAGGTGCTGGGGCGGAAGCAGCACAATCACACCAAAAAGAAATGAAAGAGAAATAATAAGATAAAAATATGCTGACAACGGCGGATCGACGGAAACAAAAAAGCTTCATGACCACTGCGCCCACCTAAGATCTCCCACCAAGCTCCAAGGCTCCGAAGCACCGGTACCAATCAACACCTCCAAGAAGGATCACGATGATGACGACGCCGATGCCAAGGGTTTCCCCCAGTATGCGACGAGGCGAGAGGAAGGGTCGCCCCCGATGCCCTCCAGGAAGGTCCGGCGGCACCCACCAGCGTCGCCGCGTCGGTGTCGGACAGGTCAACAGGGGTTTCCCCCGATCCCAACCTTCACCTTGGATGCTCCAGAGCTTGCCACCAAACCGACCACCATCTTGTGCCACCGCGGTCATGAAGCCTCCACGCCGTCTTACCACGGCACCACGAAGTGAGGCCTGCACAATGGGGAATAGGAGCCGGGACTAGGGGCCGCTGCGCCGTCGTCATGCGGGAGGGCACAACCTCCACCGTCAACGACGGTAGTTGACCAGACACAATGGCAGGAGCATACCAGGCCTGTGGGCCCACAGGCTCGGCCGGGACCTCCATGCCCGTAAAGCTCCCACCATCGCGGCAGCAGGCACGCCGTCAGCGGCGTCGTCCCCCATCGGAGCTGCTCCTCCTCCACACCACAAAGACAACGACGAAGCCACGTCGGGGGCGGCCTGCTAGAACCCAGATGGGCCCGCGGGGCCTAGATCTAGGCTAGGGGCGCGCCGCCGGCCAACCTACGCCACCATGCTGTCTCGCCGCCAAGGGGCCACGCCACCACCTCGCGCGCCGCCGGGTCACCTGGCCGTCGCCGAGCCGAGGAGCACCGCCGCCGCCCCCATGCCCCGAGCAGGGAGCTGTGCGCGCGTGGACAGGCAGTCCTCCCGCCGCCAACACCACCCGGCCAGGCGCCGGGGGCGATCGTCGGCGGCGGCAGGGAGGGAAGGGGAAAGGAAGGTTATCAAAGAAGGGAGGGGCTCGCGCAGCCCCGGCCACCTCCCTGGGTGGCTGCACGGGGGCGATCCGGGAGAGGAGAGAGGGGGGAGGAGGGGCGGGGACGGCCGGCGGTGGGGGGCGGGTGGGAGGGTATCGTAGCAAGTGAGTGCAATTTTTCACAAGGTTTAGAGGGTATGCATACTCATTCGCAAGGTTTAGAGCTTAGAACAACTCCATACGATCTCGAGGTAGATCAATTTGTACTTTATATCCCAGAAGCAGGACGTAGGGTTTTACCTCATCAAGAGGGAACGAACCTGGGTAAAACATCATGTCTGTACCTCTCCTGTTACCATCTAGCTCTGATCAGCAAGCTTGGGACCTCCTACCCGAGATCTGCCGGTTTTTGCACCGATACCACTAACAACAAATGCTACAACTCAAATATAGGATCCAAACCTAAACTGATTGGAAGAACAAATGGCACACATGGCGACAAAGCAAGCAGGACGCACACAAACAACAGCACCGGCGGCGAAGCTCGACAAACGAGGCGTTGCAAAGTGAAGCACGAGCCAGACAACCGTGTGTGGCGTGCAGCGAACGACATAAAGCAGGAAACACAGAGGAAAACCATGATGCAGTAAGAAAAGGACATGCGAGAAATTACACCATGCAAGCAAGCAAAAAAAACTACGGAAATGTTAACGCCCACACGTGTGGGCGTTCACCACTCCGTCCACACGTAAGCATCACCGCTGGCTTCGCTACGCATGAATCTTGGAGCAAAAGGGCTGGTTTTCAGCGCCACGTAGGACGAGTGTCGTGTGCGGTGTGCGAGTGGGTTCGCCCGCACGGTGGTTGCCACCCCGCGGTCAGCGGTTGCCACTGAGAGGCGTGCGGTGGAACTGCCATGCGCCCGCACGCCACGTTCCGACCGCGGTTGATGTCAAACTCGTCGCACACCCCTCCACCCTCTCCCTCACGGTTCCATTCACTCACCCCCCGCGACGCATTTACTGGCACAACCCACTCGCTCTTCAAACCACTGGAGGAGAAGGCGAGGGGAGAAGGCGACGGCGGAGGCGGAACAGTCGACGGTGTTCGCGACCGTCGGTGGTGCTCGCCGGAGCGGAGCGGCGTCGCCGGAACGCGTGCGGGTTGAAGGTAATGCTCGCTTCATCTCTCGCATCCCTTCCCTGATTTTGTTCCCCTTTTCCCTCCCTGTTCGATTTCTAGATCCGATTCCTAGAGATTCCGGCGATTCGGCGGTGCGCCGGCGTTCCCGCCGGCGCCGTAGTTGTGTGCCTGCCGTCGCTTGGTGGGAGTGGGCAGTTTCGTCGCCGCCGCTGCGGCGGCATCGTCGGTGACGTTATGCCTGTTCGGAGGCACGTATTAGTCTTGCATTTGGCTTTGAGAGTTGTCCGCCGGGTTGTTTTGGTGTGCATTGGTTCGAAATTTGGGGTTGCAGTCATTTCGTGCGAGAATTGTAAGGGTAATTTTTGAGGTCGAAGTAGTTGCCATTGAAACTTAGATCTAGTTTAGTTTTGTGTTTGAAACTGCAGAATGTGGCGAAATTGGCAGTATGATTGAACGTGAACAAATGTGTGGCAACTAAACTACCTGAAGAAATGTGGTAGTTGCCACAAACGTGTTCTCCTCTGTGGCAACAGATTTCCGAAAATGACTGTCATAGTTGCCACACTCAAGCTTTCACATAGGGGGCAACTAATTTCATTGAACGACTGTGACAGTTGCCACACGCATGCTCTTCCCGGGTGGCAAACTGAATTCTGCTGAACTTGTATGATAAGCAACCACAAAAATATGCTTTACGAATGTGGCAACTATGGCAGTATGACTGAACGTGAACAAATGTGTGGCAACTAAACTACCTGAACAAATGTGGCAGTTGCCACAAATGTGTTCTCTTTTTGCGGCAACAAATTTTCTAAAACTGACTGTCGTAGGTGCCACAAATGTGTTCAAGCTCACACACAGGGGGGGGCAACTAATTTTTACTGAATGAATGAGATAGTTGCCACACACACGCTCTTCCACGAGGCAAACGGGATTTTTTGCTAAATTTACATGATAGTAACCACAAACATGCTTTTTCATTTGTGAGACCTGTTTTTTTTCTGAATTATTTGTGACAGTTTCCACACTTTGATAGTTGCCACAATCGGTAGCACTGGACGGAACTAATGTGCACATCGAGCGTGCGTGTTTGCCACTTGGGTTGTATAATCATGTGGCAATATAGTATGCGAACACAATGTCTGTTACCACAATACAGATATGACAGTGTGGCAAACTGGCTGCATAATATGGCAACCACATTCGCATTCAAATAGGTGACATTTTCCTGTTAGGGGGCAAATGCTTACCCATTGCATTTACATGTTCGCCCTTGACAATTTGGTCTGTTCCTACATCAGCAGAATGGCTCGTGGCGATCACCAAAGTGATGACGACGATTTCATGGATCCACCTCAACGTAACCGGGCAACTGGACGGAGAAAAGAGGGCGATGAGGTAACTGTCCGCGCACCCGCCCCCCTCCTCCCGATTTATGTTATTTATGTTGGCACCTAGATCTTTCTGCAGTCGTCCGTCGTGAACTAAATTTTCATGACATTGCAAAAACATGGCAACAGGCTCAACAATTTTGTGTCTGTTTTCCGCAGAAGAAGAAGCGTATTCGCAACAGAGCCTCTCAGGAACGTCTGACTGTGTTGATTGACAAATTCACTGGCGATCAAAAGGGAGCTGCTGCTGAGATGGGTATGCAGGTTCTGATGGATGTCCGGTGCACGAACCTTGTCAACCCTGTATGCGACTGGCTTGGTGAGATATATGATACCGCCTCCAGGGAATTCGTGATTCCGGGACGGGGAAGACTTCCATTGAATGAGGAATCCGTGTTCTGCACTTTGGGTGTGCCTCGTGGACATATCAAAGTCCCGTACGAGGTCAATAATGAGATCAAGGAAGAGCTATTCGCCTGTTTGTTTCCTAGTTTGGAGTCCATGCCGAACACGTCTGTACTGGCAGACTCGCTACAAGCCATGACGATGCACGAAGAAGTTTTCAAGATGAAGCTACTCATGTACCTCATATCAGCTATTTTCGCGCCTACCACTTCTCTACGCCCAAGCAACAAATGTTTCCCCATCCTGGTGAATGATCCATCTATACTCTTTGCCAGTGTTTTCGTTGCGTTTTCTTCCGTTTGATTTCCGACGCGGCAAACTTTTTTGCCATGAAATTTTGTGTGGTGCAGGCGAATCTGAAAAATGTGAAGAATATGAACTGGTGTAAGTTTATTGCCGACTTTCTCCATGATGCTTTCAAAAACAAGATGTACCAGAAGGGTTGTCGGCTGCATTTAATGGTATTTATTTTTACCAGAACTCTGTGTGAACTCTTTGTTTATAACACACTTTTATTCATGCATGACAATCTGGTCATAACAAGATGGCAACTGCCATAGTGACAATGTGGCAACTGCCATAACGACAACGTGGCAACTGTCATACCGACAATGTGGCAACTGCCTTTATATTAGCGTGGCAACTGCTATCACAGTAGGATGGCAACTGCCATCACACTTTGATGGCAACTAGCACATACATATTATCGTTGGATCATACATTATCCTGCTCTCTTTTTTGTGAACTACAAAGTACCCATGATGGCAACTGATATTTTCTTTTCTTTGTAAAATTGTTTTAAATCAGCTCATGTATGTCGACTGTCTTGATCTGTCCACCATGGATTTCACTGGGGTAGGAGGGCCGCCGCCTACGCACAAGTTTGTTGTTTCTGCGTGGACCATCAGCGCTGTCAAGGCTGTGCTTGCCGCAGACAGGGCAACTGATGGCACGTATGGAAAACTACAGGTTAGTTTTTGTTTATGTCTTTTTCACACGGCATGCTTACAAATTTGACATGACGCAAATGTCCGTGGTTTTATAAGGCATGCCTACATTTTCTTTTTTTGTTTTTCATAGCTGATGGCCAAGCATGCTATAGACTACGGCGTGTTTGGGGGGCCTCAAAAATTTGGAAAGTGGATGGACGTGCACTCAGCTCCGTCTTGCCCTTCTGAGGTAATCAAAATGTCTACATCCATGTTTTGCTGTGGATTATATGTTGATGTTGCGCAAGTGACTTCAATACGGGTTGTTGTTGATGCTTCTTGTTTTCGTGGACAGGCGAGGGCACCAGTTGAGCATCTAATTGGGCAGTTTGCCTCCGGAATGACTGGATTGCTCGGGAAGTTGGTTGAGGGATGGACGTCCCTCAGTGCCTCTGACAGCAACGCGGTTGCGAGGCAGTTCACTTCATTTGTCCCAGAACGTACACATCGGCCAACCGGTTGCCGTGGCCGGTATGACTACAACAGTTCCCAAGAGCCCGGCGACACACAAGATGATGTAGATGGAGACGCTGGCCTCAGCAAGGATGATGACGACGACATGGACAATGTGCACCAGGACACGTATGACGATGAACTAGCTGAAGTTCGTAGAGGCGACAACAGGGGCAAGGATGCAACAGATGCCCCCCCCCCCCACTGGAGAAAGTGAAAGAACAGACGGCTGCGAGAGGCCAGGGGGTGTTGCCATCAAGGAGGGGGAGGGATCCAGATGATGTTGGGCAGGGTTCTCATGGCAAGAAGTCTAAGACTGATCCCGTAGCTGCCAGGAGGAGGTTCGACTTTCAATTTTAGTTTTCCGTTGTGTCTATTTTCTTGGAACAATCTCATCCATTTTCTTTGCACTTTTTTTTGTCAAGCGCGGCAACGGGTTTGTTGTCTGACATTTGCCACCTTGCCTTTTCCCCTCCATCTGTTATTTTGCAGCGAGCCGACCGCTGGTGGACGAGCAGTTATGAAGAAACAGGCGCCAATGTCAACCCGTGCTTCTGCTCGCTTGAACAAAGGTGCCCCCATTGCTGGTGACACCCCTTCCACCAGGTCGTCTCCTCGTACGGCGACGACCAACACTGGGGATCCTGTTGTGTTGCCAGACCTGAGGAAGCCAGTCAAGAAGTATGTTCATCCATGTGCTTTCATTTACGTTTTTGTTTTTTTTTCCTTGAATTTTCCAATGCTATTTGTTCAGCTTTGTCACATGATCTTCTGTCACCGTCACCCACGCGGCAACCTCTCTTCCCCCAAATGATTTCTTCCTTCTTCTTTTTTAGTTTACAGCAACTCATATTTGGTCTTTACATGGCAACTGGCATCTAGGGGCAACTGGCATCTAACCCTCTACCTAATGGCAACTGCCATTTTTTTACCTATGGCTTTGTGAGCTCATCCCACACACAGGTTTCAAATTGCATTCCTGACAGAACATACATCTGTTTTTCATTCTTCAATTTGCTAACATGGCAACTACTGCTGAATGGCAACTGCTAACCATGACACATGGCAACTCAAGTTCCCATTACATGGCAACTACCAACTTTCCACTTGTTTTTCATTCACTTTAAGGTTTCTACCATTTTGCAAAACATATTTTTGCTCATTTTTTCAAACCTTTCTCATGTGATTTTTTTTCTTTTTGCAGGGTGAAGAAGACTACTGCGCGGGGGGCCAAGCATAGCATCAATGATCCGCTTGAACGACTACATTCAAAGTTGTCAATGGGGGCAACTCAAATGTACATGAGGCACCCGGCGACAATACTGTTGCGGCACCGATGACTGCTCCCACCAACTCTGATGCAAGTGGCCGACCATCTCCGCCGGCTGCGGATGCCCAGGCTAGAACATCAGGCATCCGTACATCGGGGAGTGATGAGTCGATATCTGCCAGGACAGCTGAAATATTGCCAACTCTTCTGACAATGAAGGATGTCGCAGTGAGCCACGCAACCCCATCAGCAAGTGTTGAAGTGGACGCTCCCGAGACGAACATAGGCAAGGAAGATTCCCGCTCTTCCGACACTGACTCCAAGCGCGTGCGTGATGGCACACATGTGTCCACAACAGAAGCCGCTGAGGCGGCAGTTCATAAGGATATGCCACCTACAGGTGAGAGTCCTGGCACAACAGCTCCAGCCCCTGCCGGTGCAGATACTGCTAAGGCTACTGTGGCGCGTGCTGGTCTTCCACCCAGGCGTCACAGCCCCCGTAAGCAACCAACAGTCGTACCCAATGCACCGGCTGTATCTAGGAGTAGGAGAGATGAGTCTGGGTATGTTCCTGCATCTACACTGTTCCCGCCAACCGCCCAAAGCAATGTGATGGAGAACCCGCAAGACCGGAGCACAACTGATGCATCTGTCAAGGCTGGCACGAGTGACGCAGGTGAACGGCCGGAGCAGACTGCGCCTTTACCCGCAGTGGAAATCCCCAACATAAATCTGCGCATGACTAGGCTGCCAGTCAATGTTGGTGTCCCCTACAGCCCAAACAAGAAGATTGCCATGAAAGTTGCTGCTGATACCGCTGACAACACGCCCCACCCTGCAAACAAGCCCGAACATTCTGTAGCGGCCGATTCAGATATGTTTGTTGATCTTTCACCTTTGGATTCTGCCCCGCAAATCATTCGTGGTCCGGCCAGTAGGAATGAGAGGCACCCAATGGCATTTACCCCACCGAGCTTCAGCCTTGGAATAATTCAAGACCAAGCGGTGGTGCATGATCCTATGCCAGTTGCCTTTGCTTTTCCAGGAGGCATGGGTGCAATGATGGCGCAGCCAATGGTCGAGGGCAGGAAGGCTGTCAAGTTCGCGGAGCCAATTGTGCAAGGTACACTCGTCATGTCCTTACAATTTTTCGTGTCTACATCTTTTGTAGTTTGAATTTTGTCCCAATCATATTCTTTTCGGGGTGTTCTCACTTGCGATGGCAACTGCGGTGTGATGACATGGCAAGTGGATTTTGATGCACCATGGCCTACATTCTTTTTGGTTGTTGCCATGCTGCATTTTGACATTTTGGGTAAACACATGGCAACTGAAGTTGATTCATCATGGCAACTGTATTTGCTGACACATGGCAAATATAGTGCATTACATATGGCAACTGGATTTGCCACACCATGTCACCTGCATTTTTTTGTTACCATTCTGCATTTTTTCTATACGGTAATCACATGGCAAGTGGACTTGCCACAACATGGCAACTGCATTTGATGTGACATGGCAACCACAGGCCATCTGAACGGTAATTCATCACAACTGCATGGCAACTGCAGTTGCCATGACATGTCCACCGTAGTTGCACCACACATGGCAATTTCCCCACTTTTTTCTACCTACATCTCACATCATACACCCTTTTTCCTCACAATCCATATGTTTTCTGACTTTCTCCTTATCCTAACACACTTTTTTTTGAATCATTGCAGGCACCCCTGAGGAAATCTCACCGTCACTTGATGAAGCTTACCGCAAGATTGAGGAGGCAGCATTGCAGAGGAGGACATCGCGAGGGCAAGGGCAATCAAGTTCCAACTTGACTGCAGAGATGGCAACTGAGGATACCATCAGAAGCGCGACCCCTGGTTCTGTGAGACAGCAGAGGATAGTTCACGCACCTCCCGCGGAAGACTACGAGCCCGAATTTAGGGCTAGTAAGGAACAGACCCAGCTGTACGACATCATCAAGCGGTTTGGAAATGCGAGGGCCAGCAGCAAGCACATGAAGGAGTTGAAAGCATAAATGACCACACCCTATAATCACTCATTTTGCTTTGTTCCTTTTTTACATTTTCATCTTTTTCTTCGTACTCCCTATACATGATGCGCTTACGTTTTAGTTCTTTCATATATCTTTTTACTTAGCAGGCATGATTCTTCCGTGTTATGTCGTTTTCATACAGCTCATGTTTGGACAGAACCAAAGTCATTCAATGCGGAGCGACGTACGTCGACCTGGGTGATCTCGCCGAGTCCTTGAGGCCAAACGGTAAAATGTCGACGAATGTAATTGCATGCGGGATCGACTACATCAACAATCACATCGATATGTGCGCCGACAAGGTCATCATGCATTACAGCGTGACATGCAAAATATGGGATGGTGACTTCCACCACAAAATTCTGAGGAAGAATTTTGCTTAGCACGGTGAATTCAAGCTAACACTGAAGAAATATGTGAGTACTCCTCCCCTGTCTGCACTATTTTTTCACATGGTGTGGTTTTTGCCATCTTCTGCACTTTTTGATTGTGTGCCAGATGTTTTCCATGTGGCAATAGTTGCCATGCACATTTTTCTTTTTTTGTTTTGTGCATCCCGTGCGAACCATGTGGCAATTTGATTTTGCGAAATGCACGGCACATCTTGTACATACATGGACGGCAACTTTCCTTCAACTACCCCCACACCATAACCCAAAAAACATCCTACATGATTCTAATTTTTTTGTCCCTCTGCTGTTCTTTTTTATGTGAACTCTGCTTCTCATTTCTTCACTTTTTTAAATGCAGGTCATGTTCCCCATGTTCCAGGAGCTTGCACCACATGCCCAACACGACAAGTGTGGTCACCACTACGCGATCTATCTGGACCTGAAGAACCAACGCTTCGAGGTGCTTGATTCAATCCGTTCGGGAGCTGATTCAGATCTTACTACGCATGTCGAATTCTTCATCAACAACCTCAAAGAGACATGGAACCGTCACTACGAAAATTCAAAGGTCTAGATCAGACATTTCCCGATTGAGTATGTGGCGACTGTGAAGCAAGGGAACACGTAATTTCTTTTTCCCCTCCTTTTATGTGCCGTTTACATCAATACAACCCCTCTTTTTTTGTTGTCACATCTGAATTGAAGTCTATCTTTGCTACGTCTGTCCTTTTTTGCGTGTTCATCTGAGTCTCTTTCTCGTGCAGTACGGACTGCGGCTTTCACGCGCTGGAATACTTTGCAAAGTGGGAAGGCAGAATCGTCCCCGCTATCACAGCTGCAACGATTGTTGAGCTCCAGAAAATCCACACGTGGAACTGGCTGACGAACGAAGATTTCAACAAGCGGTCTGGAGCACGCGAGTTTGTGGAGGAAGCTGTCAAGAAAATCAACAAGAAGTACAAGTGATCATGTGGTGTTAGACAATGGACGCATACCTTACATTCTGTTGCTGAGGAATGTAAGGTACTTATCTATCTTGTTATCTGTCGAACACTATGTTTGTGTGCTATGTTACGACTGCAACCCAGCATATACCACTATGTAGTGGTGGTGTGTGAGCGACATTTTTAGTAGTTATGTAATATATGTGTGGACGTGAACCTATTTTTTTAGGCGTTAATGCACATATGTTTTTTATGTTTTATCATTATTACAATGGTTTCATCGCACACAGCACCAGTTTTTGCTGTTTTTGATTGCGTCTATGATGTTTTAAAACAGATGACAAATGTAGCATACATTGCCCACAACACACTATGTTTCTCTAAACTGCGTGGTATTTGTCATGGAAATATATGTCATGCACAGTCATTTCAAATACCATGGCATATTTTAAGCACAGCTAACATGGCAATTACAGTTCAAACAACATGGCAGATCAAGCATAATTAACATGGCAGATACAGTACAACTAACATGGCAGATCCAGTACAACTAAC